ATTGCTTATCTCCAATCTGCAATTCTCCCCTCCACCCATCTGTAAATTTGAATTAATTAATAAACGCCCTTATGTTTTCAAGGTCATGGAAAATGAAAGGCACTCGGCAAAATGGATGCACTGACAGTGAAGGGTGTTTGTGGGTGGGGTTTTTTATGTAAATGAAAAAATTTGTGAGGCAGAAGCTCCTTCATCTGTGCCATGAGTGCTAAAGTTAGAAAACTTAAAAGGAAATAAAGGCAATGCAAATAAATTATGCTTTGAATAAATGTGACCTTCCCTAGAAAAAGTCTAAGGCTTTATGGAACAGAGTCTCAAAACACACGATGAGGCCAAAGTCATCATTAAGTCAGGGGTCTTCACGCAAATTCAGTCACGCTGCCTTTTGTTTGTCCCTGCTGACTGTGGCCAAGCTCTGCTTTCTGTTGACACTGGCTGTTCACAAAATAACCGGCACAGGGCTCTTCCCCTTGTTGCATACCAGCCACAGAGAGCTCGTGTAGATAGACATTTTTGACACCTATATCCGCCTACCCATTTAAAGATTCTGACTCAGTCTGAAACACCCCAGCAAATCCCATGGCAGTGACAATTAAGATACGCAAACCACAGAACTACCTGGCTACTTTTTTGTCATATAACTAAGTGTGCACATCAACATACGCTGCTATATCAGCTTCCACAGCTTCCTTGTAAATCTCAAGCACCCTCACAAATTATATAATTTAGGGAGTAATACGAAGGTGTCATTTAGGTATACAAAACTTAACAAGTTAGGAATGTCACCACTAGATAAACAGAAACAATACACGACCTTATGAAATCAATTTCTGGAGACACACTAAAACTGAGTAACTTCTGAAAAAAAGGGATAAATGAAGACTCCATTGGAGAAAATGTTTTGACTTTGGAAAACGAGAAGGATCAGCTGCTTAAAATTCTGGAATACTCTGAGCCGGAAGGACCCTTTAATTCTTGTGGTGCTTAAATGGTGGATTCTCAATCCAATCTTAATCTTGATACGGCCATTGAAGAGGAAAAAAAGAGACTATGAAGTATAACTGCAAATTACAATTCAAGCCTGACGCCTAATAAGAGTCATCAGACTTCACTCCTACCTTACAAAAATACTTGAAGTACATTCAGTCAGAAATGCACTCACTTGGTTTCTGTTTTTCACTTAAAAATTTAAAGCTCATTGCAAGGGGTAGATTTTGGCAAGGAAAAAAGTAAAACAGGATAAAACCAATGAGTAAAATTCAGTGACTGCAGTTCAACAGCTGGGGAATGAGGTCTCCTAACAGGTATGTGAACATCTGACACTCCTCAGGACAGCAGAGGCCATCATACCAGAGCCCAGAACACCGCATGGCCCTTGGCTTCAAATTTCTGTGTAAGAAAACTCTTAAGTTCTCTCACTGCTGACATACGTTGACAGAACTGGGTGAAGATATTTTTGTGATGGGTACAGAGCTGCTATGCAATAATCAAATACCGAGATGCTGTAATTCCATTAGCACTGAGAGATCTGGGCAGTGAGGTTGCTGACTGTCAGATCACATTCAGATGAAAGTAGGTACTACTAACTATGGGAAACGTTGATTAATGGAATGAATCTGTCAGTTACCAAGGAAGTCGCGCAACTACTAACAAAGCAATTAAAGCATAAGGTAATGCTGTTTATCAAAAAAATCAAAGCAATAAATCAGGTATTCTGAATAGAACATTTTTACTAGCCTGTTATTTATGCCACCGTGAGTAATCCTATTTATCCCTTTAACACAGCTGGGTAGAAGCAGATGGCAAGTTGTCAGTACCACAGGGAAACCTCCAGAATTTCTAAAATGTACCTTTTGTTACTTATTTTATCCATTTCATGCATCTGGTAGCCTCTATTTTGTTAATACATTATTTGTCCAATTTGTTTAAGTTACTCCAGTCCATCGTTTGTGCTTGTGGCAAATCTACACTCACACTTGACAATAAAGTTATGGTAATATGATTTTATTATTGCTATTATCACCACCATTATTATTACAAATCAGTAATGTAGATGGCTCAGTGAAATACCTAGTACCAAAACCAACCGCCATACATATAGTCTATATAGTCCAGGCTAGTAAATTACTGCATCTTTTTGCTTTACTCCCAAATAATAAAAAATCCTTTCTTCTCTACGGAAAAAACAACTGTTAGCACATTATCAAATCCTTATTGTGCAGGAACAGAACAGATCTCCCTTCCTGCACGGATCTCTCTGCTTCTGGCAGAGTTTCTCTAACTTATTAACAGGACTATGTACTGTTGCAGTGAGAGAATTAACTTTTACCACTGCAGTCTGTGAAGTCTCAAGAAAATCTGAAGTACACCACAATGATAAACCCTCGGCACATACATGGGATTTGCTATCTCATCTCTGATGAAACACATTTTAATCTGTCAGGCTCACCTACTAGATCCTTCTTCTACATTCTATTCTGTAATTTAAAAAAATTGGCAACCTCTGTAGCCTCTTACAAAAAACCATTATAACCATCTTCCTACATGTCTACGCACTGAATACAGAACTAATCATACAATTCCCCAAAGAAATCAGAATCAGCAAGAGCTTGTGTATCAGTCTTAACGCAATACTCTTTTCTCCTTGTTCAAACCTTTCTACACATGTGAAAACCTAACACATTCAAATACAAAAACTAAAAGCAAACGAGTAGACCCTAGTCAAGCAAAAACCTATGATCAGAAAATTAAAGGGCGCTAGAATCACGTTTAAGGTTCAGCATCCAAACTAAATGTGGCTGTGACTGATACGTCTAGATGAAGTAGCATGAGAATCTGCCGAATCACAGTCAAGTTGCCCTGGCTGAGCTTCAGGTCCAAATAAACTGCAGGTACTGTATACACTACTGAGGTGCCCTAACAAAGCTGTGAAGGAAAGAATTTGTATAGCCTTTTAGACATGGTGACTGGCTTTATGTCCCCCTAATAATTCCTTCTTTTCATATGCCATTTCAATAATACATTATTTTTAAAGGATTTGATGGGAGTATCTGATACTCTTGGTTTACTTCTGCCTCTTTCGAAACCACATTTTGAAATTTATGTTTTGGTAAAAGATTGAGCTTTTGTTTTCCTCCTACAGAAGCCTTTAGCACATGTGTCAGAAATCACTCTTGGAAAAGAGACACTAGAAGATACTGCAAATAAACCATTTTCCACACAACTTCAGCTGAATTAGGGGAAAATAGATTCAATACATGTACTCATACTATCTTTCTCTGACAATAATATTTAGCTGCTTCTGTCGTTTCCAAGAAAGTCCCAAGTCTACAGGCCAATTCTGAATGTTTGACAAGCACAATTTGAGAAATCCTCCTGGGTAAGCAGTGATTAGAGAAGGCAACTGGCAGCTAGGAGGCCCGTGCTGTATACCCTGTTTCATTACTGATTTTTCTGGATGACCTTGTCAAGTCATTTAATGCCTTTCTGCCTGTGTTTCCCTATCTGCAAAACGTTCAGATAAACACCTTCCTTTTGAAAACACTGTAATATTGTTTATTATGGAAATAGTTCCTCAGATGTTAATCTGGCTCTCGGGGTGTAACATCAGATGAAAAACACGACGACCACATGACATAATTGTCAATCTAATACTTTCTAACAGATTAAACTATTGCAGTTTAAGTAATACATTAATCTTGTATCTGAAGATTTCAGATGAGACAGTAGTTACTTGTTCCATTTTAACCTTATTCGTATCAGCCAAGCCAGCATCGTAAGCGCAAACCATAAAGGTAACAAAAAGAAAATGGCATAAACTTCCTTGTTCTGCTTAATTTAAGAAGTATGACTATTTCGCCAAGCTTCATCTTGGTCAAGTATCTGCTGCTGGCAGTAGGCAATGCCCAGAACTGGGATTAAAGCTACTGGCATAGGACCCACGAGCATGCAGATGGGTTTAACTAGTGGTGACTGGCATCCCTAAGTCTGTTCAGGTCAGCAGACTCTCATGCACATCTTCCTGAATAGCAACTGGCTCTTCCATGCCCCCTCAATGACCTTGACTGGCTAATGCATGTGTTTTCATTGTTAATGGGCCAAGATACGTACTACAAATGTAATACCTAAGTGCAGTCTTATTATGAGTCATTTCACCATCACTCTTTTTCTAGAGAAAGCGTAGTATTACATAATTCTAGGAGCAACCTAATAGCAGAAAGGAAGCAGAATGGGAAGGGAGAGAAGTGCAATTTCAAATTAATCCAGCTGTACAAACCTGGGCTGGCTAACAACAGGCAACACACACTTAAAATTGAGTACCACAGGTACCACAACAGCGCTGTTGAAGTTATGTGAAGCGAGCACAGCACCTTGCATCAAGAACTGAAAAGGCAATTTAGAATTTAGGACAACTTTTCTACAGGGACTTGGACGTATTTCACCTGAGGAAGGAGGCATGCTGACATCGCGGCCGGCTTCCACAGGCGTTCCTCTGAACGCAGTAACGGACCGCGGGCGGCTACACCGCCGCCTCCTTCGCACTGCGCGGCCCCGAGCGCGCTCCCTCAGCCCCCACAAAATAGCGGACGCCGTGCCCCCCGGGTCCGCGCTTCTCTCCCTCGGCCCCGTCGGGCAGTCCCGCCACATCCGTACACCCGGAGGCTGTTGGGAGAGGGGGGAGGCAGTAGCCACGCTCCCCTCAGAGAAGTAACACCCTCGAAAGCAAACGGCACGGCACGGCACGGCACGGAGCACCGCTGAGGAGTGCGGAGCGACAGCACCGTGGCTCACGCGACCGACAGCTAGAGAACGAGGGGCGCGAGCCCGAGCGCGCTACCTCATTGGCTCTCGTTTCTCTGTCGCCCGCTGATTGGTGAACAAGTCCCCCCACGCGCTCTCTCTTCCCTCCTATTGGCTCCTGCTTCCCGCTCAACTCCTGTTTGCGAGCCGCCGCCGCGAAGCTCCTCGCTGTTGCGCACCGCGTTCCCCTCAGTGCAGAGATGGCGGGCTCCGAGCCGGGGCAGGCCTCTGCGCCGGGCGGCGCCGGCGACACCTCCCTCCTCAGCAGCGCCACAACGTGGCCCTTGAAGCGCTACGGCCGCTTCCTACCCCCGACGGACGGCGACGATGAAGGGCAAAACACCTCCTCTTGGAAGGTGGCGGGGCGCGGCGAGGCTGGGGTGGGGGCTGGCTGCTTGGTTTTGCTGTAACTGGCTCCAGTGGGGTCTAGGAGGCCGCTGTGTAGCAAGCAGTATGCCTTTGCAGGTATCTTTTTGCAACTCCAGAACTAATGCAGGAATCGGGAGAGATTTTGCTTCATGAGTTATTAATGTAAACACATCGATGATATGATAGTTAGCAGCCCACTTTTTTTTTTTTTTTATTCCTATCTTCAGTAATGACCTGTGGTATGAAAAACTATAAGTCAAGTTGGAAGAGTCCAGATGGCGGTTTAAAGTAGTTAAATCTGTATATGGAGTTGTAATTAGTAAAAAATTCTTAAATGTGCCTCCTGTCTGTGGGAGCAGAGGGCAAGTTGCATTATTGAGAGGGAAATTATACACCTGACTTCTAGCATCAAGCTTTGAAACCTTTTATTTTCACTAGAAATGGAAAATGTAGATTCTGTGCTTACAGGGCTAGATTTTTATTTTGTCTATCTTTTTAAAGGTTTTTGAATCAAATGAACTCTGCGCCGGGCGGCGCCGGCGACACCTCCCTCCTCAGCAGCGCCACAACGTGGCCCTTGAAGCGCTACGGCCGCTTCCTACCCCCGACGGACGGCGACGATGAAGGGCAAAACACCTCCTCTTGGAAGGTGGCGGGGCGCGGCGAGGCTGGGGTGGGGGCTGGCTGCTTGGTTTTGCTGTAACTGGCTCCAGTGGGGTCTAGGAGGCCGCTGTGTAGCAAGCAGTATGCCTTTGCAGGTATCTTTTTGCAACTCCAGAACTAATGCAGGAATCGGGAGAGATTTTGCTTCATGAGTTATTAATGTAAACACATCGATGATATGATAGTTAGCAGCCCACTTTTTTTTTTTTTTTATTCCTATCTTCAGCAATGACCTGTGGTATGAAAAACTATAAGTCAAGTTGGAAGAGTCCAGATGGCGGTTTAAAGTAGTTAAATCTGTATATGGAGTTGTAATTAGTAAAAAATTCTTAAATGTGCCTCCTGTCTGTGGGAGCAGAGGGCAAGTTGCATTATTGAGAGGGAAATTATACACCTGACTTCTAGCATCAAGCTTTGAAACCTTTTATTTTCACTAGAAATGGAAAATGTAGATTCTGTGCTTACAGGGCTAGATTTTTATTTTGTCTATCTTTTTAAAGGTTTTTGAATCAAATGAAGAATCAGGCTATCTTATCATTACCATTGTGGTATCTGGCCATTTCTTTATTTCCCAAGGGCGAACAGTACTGGTAAGTTTCTCATGTATAAAGAACACTTCTCCATTCATGTTACATCAGCATTAACTTCGTTTCCCTTCTCAGCTTCATGTTCTCTCCCACTGAAAGGAAACCACCAATTTTATTTTGCTCATGGAAATTGTCATGTGCTGCTTTCTCTCTACATTTATCAGAATAATACTAAATGCATTATTTCATACTGAGGAACAGTGTTTCTTCTGTGGTTCTAAAAATCTAGATTAAGATGTAAAACTAAATGCTGCTGCTGCTGAAAGATATGTGGGGTTTTTTATGATTCTTCTGCCTAAGAAAACAGAGAAAATACACTGTTAAGAAATAGATAAAAATATAACTATAATTTCCTATAAGATTTGCTGTATGATCCAGCCAGTTTCTTGCCAATGACCTGTTAGTATTTTGATTTTGATAATTTGGTTTATCAAAGGGTATTTTTTTCTATGTTGGGTAATGTGATCTAACATACAACTTACATTCATGGAGACAAAATAACAACTTCAAAGTTGTGTCAGCTGATTTTCCTGTAGCCTGTACTTAAGCATGACCAGCTACTAAACTGTAAAGATTTCACAGTGACACCAAAGAGGTTAACAGAAACTCTCCATCTAGAAGCAGTTGGTTTGATACTCATGACAGAGAAGGCCTGTGCTGGCAAGTGGAATGAATCAAGTGTGTTCAGTGCATATCGCTGGTACTCGGTGATGATATCAAGTAGGAACTGGCTGATAAATGTATTAGAAAGCTATTACAAGCCACTGGAAGATGCTGTAGTATTAAGATAGTAAAGACTATTTTTTTTTTAATACAGAATATATAAGAGAGTATGTTGTAGCTTTAAATATGTATGAGCTTATAAATTAGTTTTTGCTGTACCTCTTAAAAGGTCTTAAACTTACAGAAATACCTTGTAAGTACAGGGGGAGAACCAAGGATGTCCTTGATTTTTTTTTTTTTTTTTTTTTTTTTTTGGCCTGTGAGTCTGTTAAGAGTATTGAATAGGTAATGAATGAGATAACAGAGAGCTGTCAGCTGTCAGTCTGGATACCCCTCATACAAGACATGGTATTTGGCTCACGTATTTAGTAAGGAGAAGTTGAATGTTCTTGGACAAGGTAAAAATGGAAGATGGAAAGTATTTCAGCAGTTGTGTTGAATAAGAAAAAGGGATGGAGTAATTGAAAGTCTAGGTAGTTAAAAGAAACGCAACTGAAATGAGACTTGCTGCCATCTCTTGTCAAATTCTGCTTGGAATGAATCAGTGCAGAATGCACCTCGCTGGGACTGGTCCTGTTTTCAGTATCCCAGTCAGACAGCTGTCACTGTTTAGTAACTAGTAGACTTACATTACTGTGTAGAATGTCCTTGAAATAACCAAATAAAGGCTAACTGAAAGTAAGTTTTAATAACTCACTAAAGAGCAAAAAAGTCACAGACAAAGCTGTAGCCCTTCAAAGACTGGGTCTGGCAAAGACTGAATCTGGCAAGTAACAACGGGCAGATAAGTTTGCTGTCGTAAGGGATGAGTGCGGGAAGTATAAGAAAAGCTTTATAAAGACTTGGCTGAGAAAAGCACTTTCTTGCAGCTCTTGGGTTTAGTGGCTAAGTGAAGCTTTCAGGCAGCTGCCTTGCTTGAAATGCCAGATGAGGCATTTCTGAGATCTATCGGGTCTGTTTCAGCTTCTAAGAGACACTAAGATATTGCAGTAACAATCACAGCCTAAGAATAGTGCCGAATAGAGATGGAACAGACATGCTTGGTAAATGTGACCGAGATCTAATACTGAGAGTTTAAAAGAAAAAAAATGTTGGTTTTTGTTTTTTTAAAAACCCCCACATTTATTTTGGCAATGCTTCTATACCAACCTTAAGGATGCCACCAACAACATTTTATTGTTAGAGAAAAGGTATACAAAACTGGTGTCGTATGCATTTTAAAACGTGACTGTCAGTTCCTTTGGGTGCACTTCTTTGAGCACGTGTAATTAGGATCCTGCTGCAGGTGTGTTCTGTGCATACAAAACTAAACTAGCGTGAAGTGCACTGGTACAACATGCCCTATGCCTATGTGTATTTATCAGATTGGAGCAGTTGCAGTCCTCCCACCGTTCCTCTTAAACATACTTGACTCACTGAAAAACCTAGCAAATACCCAATCTGCTAATTCTGAACATGGGCGGGCATCTTCAGAACTATGTTAGGTTTCCTGTTTACAAGGGATTTGGTCCAGCACATCTGGCTTAGCTTTACTGCTTAGACCTGTTCCTTAAGCACGTGCCCCCCCTGAAATGCGTCGCTTTTCCCAACACTGTGCAAGACATATAGGCAGTGATAAAATTATTCTTCCTGGGACAATCCCAATCTACAGGTATCCCTTCAGGCTTTGAAGAACAGTCTGTGGAATCTCTTTAGTAAAGCAGCCGGTATCATCAAACAGAAAGGTGATGCACAGGGATTGTGCTGAAGAAGACAGCACAGGCAGTGATACTGTTGGCCGGTAGCTGATAACAGCATTGATATCAAAGTAAGCATGACCTTTACTGGATCTCTGAATGGTTTTCTTCAATTAGCAGACAGGGACACTAGAAACTCCGTATCATTGTCCAAGGACAGTTTACACCACGGTCTTTGGACAGAAGTCTTCTAAGGCCTGTTGACAACAGGATCTGGACAGCAGGAGCAGCTTATAATGCAGTAGACTCAAAGCTAGCCAGAACTGCACAGGCCACTGGTGAAATTTTGCCAACTCCTTATGGAGATGCAATATAACAAAAAAGTTGCAGTACTGTGCAGTCTTTGTTATTGCTGTAGAAATAATCAGACTGTAGAAATGGTTAATCTCACTGGTTCTATCTCCCTCTAGTCTCCAGCTCTCAGGAGTTGTCAGAAACCTGTCACAATATTTAATCAGGCTTTGCATGACTAAGTACATATAGTTCTTTTGAATCTGTCACAGACCGAATCCTCTCACTGGGGGTATATAATAATGGACATTTTGTCACAGAAGATAATGTGAAAGTTTGCTCCGGAGGGAATGTGTCAAGTTTGATAGAATGCTGCAATTGTTGGAATGATTCAGCTCATGTTTTCACTGTGTACGTTCATTTCTGCTTGCGGGCCTGCACTGCTGAGTATTTCCTTTTTATTGCTAAGGTCTTCTCCAACATGTAGGTGCTGCCTTACTCACTTGCATTGAAATTCCCTCTGAGGTACTTGCAGACTGTTTCTTGCTGTGTAGTAACTGCATCCTTTAAGTTGTTGATGCCTAGTCTTTTGATCCATCTTCTAATCCCTACTCTTCAGATCTTTTGATGTACTACAGGCTCCTGGTTTTGAGGGAACTGGATAACAATTATCTTAGCTTTGTACCTTGTACCTCTGTGTAGGCACACAGTGAGGCACAGGATCTGTGTCACAGGGACACCATTTCCTTCTCAACTTGAATAACTATTGTATTTTTTTAAAACTTCTGTGGATGAATAATAAAGGGATTTTTTCCCCTCTAACAGTAATCCAAGAATGAACTGAACTGCTAACTAAATCCAAGAATTCATTCAGTGGTGAATGTTCCTAACTTTTTTTTTTTTGACTGCGGCAGTAATGATAGAGCAGGAACCCTTGCTCCATCCCAACAATTTTAACATGATCATCCTAGGTAATAGTTTAAAAAAAAAAAGTTTTCATCCAGCATCTGTAACAAAGAAAACCTATTAATGGGATGCTTTTAAAATGGGTAATATGGTAGTATGATATATTTTTATCTCTTCTGGTTTAAAATTGGGATAGAATGTAGTAAAATCAGTGCATTAATAGATGAAAACTATCTTGGTTTGTACCTTCTATTTTCTTTAGGAAGGCAAAAGTTAGAGTGCATCTGTTCTTTAGTGGTGTGTACATTTTACAAAAGCCAAAATGAACCTTTTTAGCTGCCAGCAAGCTCTGTGTTATGCTGATAATACTGTGGATGGATGCTTTTTAAAAAGTCCAGCAAAAAATCAAAGTCACATACTGAGAAGTGTGAACTTGCAGACTTTGGCTGTTTTGGATTTCACATAGAACTTTTCTTTGTTCATTCTTCTGCAGCGAACAGTGATGTTAACTGAACTAATGCTTGCCTGAGCTTGGTGCTGATCAGCTTCATAGTTAGTTTTCCGCTAAACTAATCTCGGTTGGCCAAAATGCTAGTGATAGCTCCCAATATTTGCTCTCTTAGTGAGCATGGGCCCTGCAAATACCTTTTTTTGGATGAAGGCATATTTTGTTGTGTTGCTTAGTGATTCTTTCATCAACCTTTTTTCACGTCAAGTGATTATTTATGAAATACTAAAATACATAAACTATTTTCTGTAACATACTCTCCTGTCAGTGTGAAAACAAGAGGAGATAGCTTTTGTGTAAATTATTTACTTAGTGAATCCTCCTCTTTGGTGTCTACCTTTCATCTACATACAACTTTCACTACAACTCCATTTGCACAAAATTGAGGTTGTATAGAAATCTTTATTTCATTGATGGTTGGATTAACATGATCCATTCTAGGAAGAATATTCAAGTGTTCCTGACTTGATATGAAAACATTTTCTCTATAATGGATGTATTTATGTATTCTCTTAGTCCTTTTTTTTTTCTTAAAGGATTGTTAAGAAAACTTTTCTTTTTCTTAAAGAATTCTAGCTATTTAGAGCCAAGTGAGACTATGACTATGATCCATTTGTAAGAAGAACATTTATAAAATGGTAATAAAATATTCACATATCCTAACAAGTGATTTTTTGTTTCTTAATACATATGGTAGACTACAGAATTAATTTCATGAGCAATAAAATAGTAGAATATTTAATGAATTCCCTTCTAGCAGTCTTTTCACTAATGGAAGTTGAAATACTATTTTCTTGCCAAAAAGAATGCTACAATGTATGCACTGAGTCTCAGCATTCCTAAACCAGGCAGATTAGTAAATACTTCAGGCTGTGTACACTGCTGTGTGGTAAGGTGCC